TGTCTAAATATAAATGTAAATGAAGAACGTGGCAAAGTCGTCAGCTGTTAGAGTTGATGAAGGAGGGGGAGGAGGAGGACAAAGGAGCGAGGAAAATGTTTTGAAGAGCATGCGAGAGTTAGAAGAATTGTTAATTTTATTATGATAGTATGTCCTTTTAGCAGTGGAGACGGGAAGAGAGGAGTGATCGATATACATTAAGGTCAGTAGTATTTTTTGATTTGCGCCACACCCTTTCAGCAGCCCTGAGCTTAGAATGATGCTCGCGGAGAACATCAGACAGCCAAGGGGCAGAAGAGGTGTTCCCTTCACGGTTCATTGGGCGACGGAAAGCCAGTCAGTCAGTCACTTGTTATGTCATAACATCACCACTAGATGAAGCAATAATCCTAATATCTCAATCCTGTCCTCCAGTACTGTCACCTCATGATTCCTTGTTTAACGCTGCTCTCTCTAGTGCAAATAATGTCAGTCCAAGTATTTTGCCTATTTTGGAAAAAAAAAAAAAACATATATTGACTAATGTTTTTGCAATACTTCAGCATTTAAAATTACTATACCGACACAGAACTACACACACACACACACACACACACAACTAACTTAAAGAATATCAAACAAAAGCAAAACAAAAGATCAGGACTAGAAGAATTGAACAAATACTAAAATAAAAGGCAAAAAGCAAAAACAAACAAAATGCAAAAACAAGGAGCAAGACAAGAACATGGAACTACAAAGGACTAGACAAGACAAGGGCACAAGACCAACCAGGCAGGGGAGACAGGAACACATACTCAGCCACATTCACAGACAAAGACAGCGAGGGTGAGAATGACCACAAACCGGCAAAGACAAGAGGGCAAGGGAAACTATAAATAGGGAGGAAGGCACACGAGGAGGGGCAGACAGTGTCTAAACAAGATGTAAGAGTGGAGCAGAAAGTATCAGTAGCACTGTTAACATCAAGAGATGATAACTGTTTAGGGGGAGGAAGCGAAGATGAAACCATAGCAGATAGCCGGGAGGGTGAGAGTGCGCGTAGGTTACGTCGAAAGATGACATGCGGAGGGGTATGTTTTGTGTCAGGAACCATGTTGAGGTTAAGAGTGATGAGGAAGTGATCCGAGGTGTGCAGTGGAGTAACCACCAGTACATGATCAGTGGAGCAGTGTCGTGTGTAAATAAGGTCCAGTTGGTTGCCTGATTTGTGAGTAGCCGTAGTTAACACTCTCTTGAGATCAAAAGAGGAAAGCAGAGTGTGTAAGTCTGCAGCCTGAAGTTTATCTAGCTGGATGTTG